ACTTATCTAGCTAAGAAAAGGAGAAATAATATACATTATAAATAGAACACATTGAGCTATAAGGGCATGAATGCAAGGGAGAAGTATAATACAAGTATAGTCAGTGAAACAGAAGGAAAACATAATGAGAAAAGCATGGCTGCCTTTGAACCAACTGGCTGCAGAATGGTGTACAAGGAGACTTTTGTGTGAATGACCCCTCTCATTTCACATGTAGGCAGTGCGTACATTTGCCTATCTACTGCATCTGTGAATTATTTGATCTTATTATTTTTCCAATACATGTGTAAAACTGCTTACAATTGGTGTACATGAGGCTAAAAATCGAAATCTGATTGTTTGTGAAGCTACAGCCTCTGGGTTTCCAAGTCCAAATGATGTGTAACACTCTGAGCAGAACTACATGCTTGATAGCATTTCCGCAACAATGAAAAGAGAAGAATCAGAGAGGAAACTTATTGAAGTAGCAGATTTAAAGGCTTAGAAATCTGCTTTTGTTGATATTATGGAAGAACTGCAGAATCATTTAGAGAATGATTCGGTCACTTCTCTCTTTTGTACTCTGAGCCCTTCTACTAGCCTTAGGAGTTTGGTCCCAGATAAGCCTCTGTCTGGCTATAATGAAAAAAAGAAAAAAACTTTACAAACCTAAGCAAGTAAACTGGACTCTGTACTGCACAACCTTCTACATATGCTTGAAAATAAAATAATAAAACTAAGTTGCAGAGGCAGGCATGTTCATTAAATTCATTGAATAACTGGGACTAAAGACCTTCCTTGAGACCAAATGCTTTACTGAAAAAGTAAATGCATAGTTCCAATGCATAGTTATTTGCATACTAAAGTGCTCCTAGTCAGGAAGAGAAAGAACATGTACAGTGGTATTTAAATGCTAGTAATGTTTTGATGGACAAACATCAATTACTATGCAGGAGCAGCACAGTGGGAAGCACTCAATATATTTAGATAGGAGTAAAAAAAAAAAAGTCCATTTAAAACCAAAAATTCAGAAGGAAAAAAAGCATTCCCTATATGAACTTAAATAAATGTTCATTTTTCTAATACCCCAGCTAGTGGATACATACCAGGAATGACAGCAGGATCAGGTTATAAACAAAAGCTACAGCACACATTATTCTTTTGGAGATCTCTCTAGCTGGATCACAATTAGTGTTTTTGTTATTGTTTTTGGCAATCTGAAACCTGTATTTTTAAGAATGTATATAAATAAAAAAATTTTGACAAATGAAAACATGATTTTAAAGTTGCTAATTTTAGCTCCGGTAAGAATAGTAAACACACACACACACACAAAACAAATTCTAACAATGAATTTGAAATTCAAAGTTCAGTGAGGCAATATGCAGAAACACAGTGTTCAGTGGGGGCACCAATAGACCAGTGCTTTACTTGCAGAATTAAAGAGGAAGACACATCTCCAGATTCATAGTATCTTAAATCTTATTTCAAAACAAAAAAAATTAATTAAACTGTTCTAGTGTTTTCTAAAGTGTGTCCTCTCCATAACATAACTGTGTTGCAGCCATCCACAAAACGTATCAGGTCTAAACTATGTTGTAAAAGTAGAGTAAAAACATTTACGAACAACTAAATTCTTAATTGCAATTCTAAACAGAAAATGCAAGATAATCGCCAATGCTCTTTTATTTGCTCGGGAGAATCTGAGATTACAACTTAGAAAAGTTGAAAGAAAACTGAGTGCTACACTAAGAGAATTCAGAAATTAGAAGCCCGACACATCCAAGCAAGTGCAGCCCACATACTGGACAATCTAGACTTCAGATTTCTCACTTATGAAATGATGTTAACACCAGTATCTACTTCAACATGTATTATAAATATTAAATAAATGCATGGAAAGTGCCCTGAATTATGTCTGTCACATAGAAGACACACATTAGATGTCTGCTATTGTTATTTCTGAGCAACCACATACGTACATGAATGAAGCTGAGAAGCAGACCGATGTGCCTGCCACAGTAGTCATGGTTATCTTTCGATTTCAGTAACTTCCCATGACCTTTCCTGCTCCAGTGCCCTTGCATATGGTATTTGTTCTGTCTAGCTTTCCTGAGCCAACTCCTTCTCAGACTTTGGATGTCAACTATCTATTCTTCTGCCTGGAGTCCCAACCTGTGCCATACACTCTTGAACACCAGTATAACTCAACATCTCTCTGTAACATGCCACATTTACTATTCTCCTGTGTCCTAGTCACATGGTGTATATGATGTGTGTGTGTGCGCGCACATGTGGGTGCATGTGTGAGATTTTCTAAAGTTCAGTATGAGCGAAACCTCTGTCTATTTTGTTCATCAAATTCAATTTTTAAGACAAGCATAGTGGTACATGTTTGAGATTGCAGCACTCTAAGAAGCTGAAGCAGGAGAATCGCAAGTTCAAGCCCAGCCTAGGTAAATTAGCATCTTAACAAGACCCTGACTCAAAATAAAATTAAATAAAAAAATAGAAAGGGCCGGGTTGTAGCTCATTGCAAAAGCCCTGGGTTCAATCCCCACTACCACAAATGTATATTATATATGTATACAATTTCATAACTTTTATAATAATCCTTGGTCATCATAATTATTCAACAACTATTTGTTAAATAAAATAATGAATGAATAAAATTAAATGACTGAATGATCAAAATGATTAAAATCCATGAGAAATGGAGCTGATTTTTATTAGTTCACAAATAATGCTAATTAGATTTCATGCTAAATGTGGGATAAGAATCAGAGAAGAACATCTTTTTGCATCTCCTTTATATGATACAGACTTGGACTAAAATATCTTTAATCAAAAAAGTATAAAATTTAATTATTGACCTTGAATAGCTTTGTGTCGAATGGAGACACTGACATGCACACCTTTTTAAATTAAAGAAAAAATTCTTGTTAAGTGCCACAGTATACATTCTGACAATATGACAAGTAAAGCACAAAGCTTCCTATGTCCCAGCACACTCAACTGAATGAATAGTTCAGAGTTTCATAGAGTGGATAGCAGTTGAGATGAGCCTGGAAGAATGAGCAGAATTTGCAGAAAGGAATATTAAGAATTGAACAAAGATTTGGAGAAATAAAATGAATACTGTCTGAGAGTGCAGTTGGTTCATGGAGAATATAGGAAAGGTTGTTGAGAGCTTCCAACCTCCTTGGCACAGTGATCCTTACTCTGTAAGCACTGTGAAGGCGCACGTAGAGTAAAAGCAGAAGATGAAGTCAAATTCTGCTCCTCCAAGGAATCTTCAGTGATGTTTGCAAAAATAATACACCAAAGGAATAATTACAGATCAACATAATATTAATTCGGAATCATGTACAGTACTGACAAATACTATCAGATCTCAGAAATGGAGAAGAACATCTTGCAAAGAAAGAAAATAGGGCTTTCACAGTCACAGCAGTAAGCTGTTCCAGTTCAACTGGAACACAGGCTTTCTGTGTTATTTAAGGGAAATAAGAATAAAAGTTGGGAGAAGTCAAGACTAAGAAGGTCAAGGCAGAAAAATGTGGGCTTTTAATGGTTAATAATGGATTCTCTAAGAATTTCTAAAAGTAGGAAAGCAGAAAACGGACAGAATTAAATTTTATAGACAGGTCTGGAATGCCTTGGAAAAGGGTAAGGCAAGAGGGATAGCTACAAGATTACTTTAACAGTCCTAGAAAGAGGTAGTGATATTAAGGACACAGTGGTCAATGGACAAGAAAGATGTGTTATTGTCTTGTAAGGAATTTTTTGTTGTTGTTTTTAAGACAGACTCTCACTATATAGTTTAGGCTGCCCTTGAACTCACAGCAATTCTCCTGCCTCAGCCTCCCCAGTGCTAGGATTATAGTCCTATGCCACCACACCTGGCTGAAGACATTTTGACTGAAGAACAGGGCTGGGTTGGTGGGCATAGGAACAATCTTTGAAAAGAAAGAAGATCTAAAATTAAGTTAAAGAGGAGTTTGGATATGATGTTCTGAGGTCTTTAGCATGGGAATGATTAAAAAAATAAAAGCTCATAACTTCTATTACTGCCATCTCATGATTACTAGTTTTGTTTCATTATCTAAAGCCTTTAACTCAATTTATTGTATTCTGATGACTACAATTTTGATGTCCGTTTTTGTTACTAAAAGAGCGAGACTATGAATCCTTCCTGACTTGATTTTTCACTGTAAATCACATTTAGAAATCATTGAATACTAAATATTTGTAGTGGTTTCTTCTGGGACACTGATTTCACAATCTTCTGACTACTTGAGAAGGCATAAGAATGAGTCCTGATAAGCTTATTCTGTGGGTAGAAAGTAATGACTAAATAATACAACAGCTCCTAGCACACTCTAGAATTGAAACTTTCTTTTGTAAATGGCATTAGTCAACATTACTGTGCAATCTAATTATTATAATTATGACAGAGGTAAACATATCTAGCTTCTCTGTATTAATATAATTCTGCTAGTCACGAAAATAGTTCTGGCCATTTGATTTCATAAATGAGATTGAAAAAATAAAAGCGAATCTCCAAACTGAAGAAATGAAACAGAAAACAAGATTAAAATAAAATTATAATGGGAAAATACTGAAAAATGAATACTAAATTGCCTGAAAGATATTTGCAGAAAAAGAGGAGAAATCAAGTTCATGTTTGCTTTCTCACTTGGCATGTCTATGTGCTTTTTAAATTTTAATACTGACAATTATTCATATCAAATAAATTTGTAGAAAAAAAGATTTCCAGTAATACATGAAGCTGTAATTTAATCAATGTAAACATCCCAGACATTAATAATTTACATCATTGACTATTTAAAAATTAAAACTGACTAAATTAACATTGACTTGTCTGTTTTACAATAACTGCTAAATAACTGTAAAGTATACAGCATTGTATTCATTACTGTAGAAATTATAATTCATTTTATATCCATTTCTATGTATATCTACATTTATCTCAAGATAACGAGAAAATATATACTTACCAAAATGGTGGTAACAATCAGAGAGCGATTAGATAACGAATCTGTGATATTAGCTGGTTTTCCCTTTTGACTTTCTGTCATATTCAGGCCACTGGCTGGATCCCAAGTTCCAATCTATAAAATAGCATATGTACTTTGTAAATTGTCTATCGGGCACCCAAGAAAAAGCATTGCCAGAGAAAGTTACACCTGCCAACACTTACTACTCACTGCTGCTGCGTTACCTGCTGTCATTAAAAGCTTTTTGTTTTAAGCACAATTCACTCCTCTGTGAAGTGCAACCAGTGAAGTGTGACATTAAAGAACAAAATGATCCACTGCACTGCTACAGCCAGTGTGGGAGCTTAATTTTTCATTCAAACTTTCATTCCCCAAGATAAACAACATTTGATGATACCTTGATAACTGGCTAGAAACTCATGAATAGTGTATATCTTTTAGTGTAATGGATCTATCTCATCTTATTATAAAGCTAGCACACCATATATTATTCAGACAAAGCTAAAAGACACAGCAAAATCTGGGGATCCAGGATAAATTAATAGGTAAAGACAGGCTTAAGGGAAGAACTGACTAGTATTCTACATAACCCCCAGCAGGGCAAAACCATACCCAGAATTATCTTCGGGGCTTTTTAAAGCATGTGTAGCTTTTAAAACATTCCTGGAAAAGATCACAGCACAATCTCACCTAGATAATCCATTCCAATATTCCTTCCTGTGTGCTATTTATGTGAATTTTAATTAAATCATACACTCTCTGTACTCATATCTTTTGTACATGCTGAATGTAGTAAATGGGGTGACACATATGAGGCTCTGGGAAGACATTGCCACAGGATGGGTAGATTAAGTGGTTCATTGATGCCTACACTGTTGCATTATGCTATAACTGGTCATCATCGAAGAACAGGAAAAAGGAGGTGTGGGATCAGTAGATATTGTTCTACACCTTCTCAAATCAGAGAGTCATTAACAGTGCAATGTGTTTCCTACACTTCCTTGGACAATAAACTTATTTTTCTTAAGGAAAAGGGAATTATCAATTTATCTTTAAAATAATCCTGTATATAAAAATTAAATTGTTTAACAGTAAAACTGATTTAAGCAGGCTTACCCAAATATGTTAACAAAGGCCTTGTCAGTATAATCTTATCTTTACAAATATTAAGACTCTTTTACTTTTTATATCTCATTATATTCATTTTTGATAACTTTTCATTTGCATGGTTTTTCTAGTATACTATTAAGACATCTTTTCTTTAATTGAAAAATAAAAGTAGACATTTTTGCTGCTACTTTTTTAAAAATTCATTTTACTTTACAAGGGACTCAATATTAATGTCTTTTATAGTGAGGCTTTAAAATTCTTTTGCCACAATTTTCATGTTGATTTAATTTTCCTCTTACCATTAAAAACTATATGTTTCTGATGTTTGTGTCAATAAAATAAAAAGTCAAATAATTCAGTGAGAAAAAAATGTTTTCTTTCTTTTTCCTATTCAAACTAAATTACCTAATGGACAATTAAATTCTTTTTCTTAGATCGTGACCATCACAATGTCATAAATAGAGAGTCTAAGTTTAATTCAGGTCAGTCAGGAAAAAAAATCTTAAAGACAAGAAAATAACATCAATGTACCAAATTGTTAGGCAGAACCAGTAGTAAGATTTGGCTACACAGAGAGGGGCAATTTATTAAATCCCATAAAATTTCAAGACTAATCTTTCCTTTTTTCCACCTTTTTTAAAGTATAAAATGGTGCCTATTATCCACACCTAACTCTCTTTGCACAATTACGAGGCTTGAGGCTACATGTTGCTAGAGCAGGGACTTTTTTATCTTTGTTTTTTTAGTATGTTTGTAATACACAATAAGTATATTTGTCATGAATTGATATATATCACATTTTGATAACATGTACTTCATTCTTCCTGTCCCCTCCTATCCACTTTTCCCATCCTTATATCCCCTTCCAATCTCCACAAAGTCTATCTCTTTATTTCCTATCATCTCTTGTTTCACTCTTTAAGTTATTTATAGTTTGAGTTTCTCATAGAAGATAAACCACGTGATAATTAACCTTCTGCATCTGATTTATTTTATTTAGCATTATTATCTCAAGGTACATTCATCTTTCTACAAACAATTCAAATCTATCCTTTCTGATTGAGTAATATACAATATGCAGTATACATATATAATTTATATAATATCTATAATGCAATACATATTATATTTTCTCTATTCTTTCATCTGTTGATGTGCATATAGGCTGGTTCCAACATTTTACTATTATGAGTTTTGCTGCTATAAACATGGATATACATGGATCACCATAACATGATATCTTTGACTCTTTCAGGAAGATACCCAGAAAAGGAATAGGTAGGTAAAAATAAATTTCTAGTTTTAGTTTTTGAGGAATCTCCGTAATGATTTCAATAGTCATTGTACTAAATTACATTCCCCCCCCCAAAATTGACTGGTTCCCCACCCCAGCCTTACAGGAATTTATTCTTTCTTTTCATTCTCAGTAACAGTCATTTTTTTCTGGAATAAAATGAAATCACAATGTTGTTTTGACTTGCATTTCTCTAATGGCTAAAAATGCTGACTATTTAAAAATATACCTATTGGTCATTTGTACTGCTTCTTTTGAGAAATGTTTATTTATATTAATTGTCAGTTTTTTGATTAGATCTTTTATTGGTGAAGTAAAATATTTTTACTTCTTGTTTTGTTTGGTACCAGGGATCGAACTCGGATCCTTGGGCTTGTGCAACAGGAGGCAAAACCACTGAGCTAAATCTCCGGCACTTTTACTTCTTTACTCTAGATATAAGTCCTTTCTCCGTGGAATAGCTAGAAAAAATTTTGCCAATTCTGTAGGTTGTCTGTTCACTCTGTTAGTTGTTTCCTTCACTGTGTAGAAGCTTTTGGATTTGATGTGATCCCATTTGTGGATTGTTAATGGTATTTCTTGTGGGATCAGGGTTCAGTTCAGAACAATTTTGCCTATGCTTATGTCTTCAAGAGTTTTACCTATATTATCTCTGAGAACATTCAGTGCTTCTGTTTTTATATCTAGGTCTTTAAGCCATTTTAATTTTATTCAGTACAAGTTGGAAGACATTGATCTAGATTCATTCTTCTGCATGTGGTTTCTCAACATCATTTGTTAATGAAACTATCTTTTTTCCAGGGTGTATTTTTGAACCCTTTGTCAAATGTCATAAAGGGGCCGGGGATTTAGCTCAGTGGCTCCGCTGCCTGCCTTGCAAATGCAAGGTCCTGAGTTCGATCCCCAGTACCAAAAAAAAAAAAAAAA